TTCAGTGTGAATCTACAATTTTCATAGTCATGAAAATAAAGAAAACTCTTTGAATGAGAAGGTGTGTCCAAACTTCTGGTCTGTACTGTATTTAGGGACAGAGTTGGTATAAAATAGCCAAAGAGTAATTTCACTAAACGTCCTTTAGCATCAGGCACATCTTTTAAAATTGGAAACATTTAGCTTGTTTTTCTGCGCACAGTCAGTATCTATAAGGTTGGTTTCTGAATGAACACGCTGACATTCAGATATTTTTTTGTCATCTCTATGAGGAAATACCAAATCAGATTCTGCACAAATTAAAACCGGCATGACTGCAAAGATAAAGAAATTTGAAAGCAACAAGCTTGCCCTTCCTGCGGTCCAAAACTTTTACCCTTGTCGTGGAAATGATTTACCAAGAATGCAGAAACACGTTGGAATAAGTGCACTGAAAGTCTGCGTGTATGGTCGTCAATGATTTAATCTTGAGCAACAAAACAAACAGAAGTCAATCAGGAAGTCTGTCAGATTTGTGGCTGCCCTCGTCAGCGGAAGCAGCCAATAATATACATCATGTTAACATCATGTGACATGCTTATAACCAATCACAGATTGACAAATGTAACTGCCCAGCCAATCACAGGGCTCTCAGCTCAAAGAGTTCCTTATCAAACAAGAGAGGTCAATCCTTTGCTGGAGTCCTGTTGTCTGGGCCAAAACAGATTAACAGCCGAAAACTGGTTATAATAAGATATGGTTACTGGACAGTGTCAAGGTAAAACAGATATACATAATTAATCCATAACACCCTCAAACATTTGGCTTTTGAAGAATTAAAGGAATGGCAAGATTTGAAAGCAAGAAACTGAAAACTATTAAGCTCCAAGCACAACTTTTGAGAAACAATACATTTTCTCAGCTGATATTGTAACCTGAATATGTACAAATATTTTAAACCTTATTTTTTTATATAAAAGGTACAAAATGTTTTACAGTTTTGCACATTGTGGCTTTAAACATTATTTTGAAAACACAAAATCCTGTTTATACATGAGTTACCTGCTTTACTGTTAACCAGCTGAAGAATGAGAGGACGACGGGTGACGATGCCAGATCCTCGGGGCAGAAAGTCCCTGAGGAGTAAGGAGAAATGACTTTTAATTCACTCGCACACAAATAAACCTTTGGAATGTGTTGCTGATTAGCAGTAGATGGCAACTACTAAAACTAAAAACCTAACAGTCCTTGAAGCAATGCAAGAGAATATATACAGGTAGGACAAAGTGCATCAGGTAAAAGATGAAGGTGATGGGCAGGTGTGAATGAAATCTAAAATGTTGAGTACATTCTAGTCAGCTGTGTGAACTTAATGAAATAACTTACTAATCTAAAGACATAATCTACAGCATGATTAACAATTTTATTTTATTTTGACCAGTAAAAAGTGATAGGCTTATTACTTTCATTTCTAAGAAGTGGTAGAAATTAGTTTTCATAGTTCAGATTTTCCTGGTTAAATAAAGATCAGTAAATAAATCTGTCAGTCCATTCATCATTAGCTTTCTAATCAGTTACAAAAACCCATGTATTAATTGTTCCTAATTTACATGCAGGTTGATGAAACTGACATGTTTTTCATGTCACCATTCTTTGACACAGTGCTATTTTATGTTGTGAAAAAGGCTGCATGATGTCAGTCAGTTTATGAGTGGGCCTGTCATCAAATCAGAAAAAAATCAAACGTTCCCCTAAATTCAATATTGGTGGTTATCATAATTACACCTGTTTATTGGTTAAAGTTATTAATGTTTTTAGTTTGAAACATGCAGTTGTGTGTCATCACTGTTTGGCACAATATGTTGTGTTATAAATAAAATTAAATGAATAATAAACAAACTAAATGTAAAAACCTCCTCTTAGCTTGTTGGGCATAAACTGTCATTTATTGAATTATCTGAGCCATAAGTGAGTTTAAAAACAGGACGATGCAACTAGTTTAATGAAGAAGCTGTCTCTAGATATTAAATCAAGTGTCTATTTATGTAGGTAAAAATATGTTTAACAACCTGTTAAAATACACTAGAAGTCAGGAAATAGACTCTACCTTATTCAAAATAGAGGCTATAGACCCCCCCTCCAGTGTGTCCTTTACACACATTACAAGTTTACAACCTCCTCTTCAGAGGTTCTAGTGGGCAGAAGCGAGGACAGCACGCTTACGGTTTTGACATCAGCAGAATGCTGCAAGGTGGATTAGCTCTGGGATTGATGGACAGAAGAAAGGAGATCGCAGCTTTTGTTTTGGAATACGAGCACAACATGGCGAGAGCAGTGATAAAAACTGTGCTTCCTGCAGGAGCGAGAGGCTAATCTCCACATGATGCTCGGACCATAGAAAGTGGGGATGCAGCAGTAAGAAAGATAGCTATCAATTTAAATAACTAATTCTGACTATTTATTTTTTGGCTCTTGTTATTAGAGTGATGTTTAATCTGTTTACACACTTGTGTTAGTGAAGATTAAGTGCAATGATCATGCTGTTTTGGGCACAGTCAGTAAAATTAGACTCTTAAATTTGAACAGTTGGACATTGGGTGGTTTTGTTTTGTGCCCACCTTCAGTTTTTCCCACCATAAAGCAGCACCAGGCTGACAGATATCAGAAAAAAAAATAACTGGAGTGACTTTGAATTGTTATTTTACAGTTTAAATGTACATTTTGTTTTTCTTTTGTTTTATTTTTCAGGGTTAAAATTTATGTGATCCATTGGTTAAAAATAAATGGGTCAATTTTTCTTTTACCTACTCTTTTTCACTGTTTGACTTGATCAAGGCTTTTCTAAGATTTCACACTACAAAATTGGTAAAAGTGTGTGATACGTACTGATATGGTATCGGGTCAAAATCGGTATCGGCCAATTCTCAAAGTTGCAATACTGGTATCGTATCGGAAGTGAAAAAGTTGTATCGGGACATCCCTAATTGTAAGCTAACATGGCTGGAAGCTTTAAAACTCACAACCCTCTGAAGAGTTTGTTTGCCTATAGTAGCCACGTGCTGGCAAAACTATATAAATGGCTTAATTTAACTGTTTTAATTCTGAGTAAGCTGGGAATATTAACCATTCCTCTTCCCAAATACATGCTAAAATATTTTGTCTACGTGACAGGATTAAAAGATGAGATTAGCCCCCTAAGGCTAAAAAAGTCCCTGTTTTTTTTAAATATGCTAACAGAGGTATTCGAGGCAGTTCATTTATTTTTGTTTGTCRTTTATTTAAAATGACGGCAGCTGTATGAAACCTTCCAAGTCAACTTTAAAGGGTACAAGCAAACTAACACGTAGCGAATTTTATGTTTAGAATAGGGTGGGAAACAGCTAATCACAACACTTTCATAAAATTCTGAGGGGCTTAAGAACATTTTACTTCCAGAACGATAGACATTTATGATTGTGCATGTGTCTTCGAGAAAGACGAGGTAGTTGACGTTAGTAGCAGCTAACATCGGGTCATGGCTTCATGTCATCTACCCAGTCTGTGAGCAGTGACGGGTGAGCCACTGTGAAATAATTATCCTCACTGCTTTTAAAACATCCTTACACCTCCAATGTGTTGATGCTAAACTTCAGCAAGTACTGTACCCCCAGCTGCAGACTACAGAATGGGGCAGGGTCTGACTTCCAATGGGTGTGGTCACGATTTGTAGGGAACGTGGTCACATTGAGGGCAGAGCTGGACGGCAAGCAAGCAGTGGTTCTGAAAAATTGGAGGAACCACTACGTAATTGTAAGAGAAGTTAAAATGTGAACCAAGATGAAACAAAAAAAAATTGTTTTTAATGATTTGTAATTATAGACTTGTTTATTTTGTTTTTACTAAGTATATACAAAGTATATGTATACAAAGCTCTCAAACCTCAGGCAATGAGCGTGAGACATGCGTTTTAATGTACTCACACAGGCCACGTTTAAAATGACTAGAAACTGCAATTTACAATTAATACCAAATAAAGTCCTCTATATAATACATTATACAGGCAGTGAATGTTCATGATGGTGTAAGAAAAATACGTGTTCAATATGACTGAAGTCAAGATGAAAACACAATTGTTAAATAAAATGATTTGTGTATGGAATAAAGTCACACAACACCAGAATTCTGGACCTGAGTGAGGTTTAATTGTCACCGGGCTGACAAGGAAAACCACACTGGCCAAAAGCCAGGAAGTACACCTTTTTATACATGATTCTTCAATGCCTGAGTTCGCCCCCTACTGACCTACGGCTGAATCACAGGCATTCATCCAATAAACTCAACCTAATGTTATCATAACGGTTCACTTATGTGTTGTTTATGATTCGGACATGTAACTACTCTATATCTACTCTATAACTCTATAAAAGAGGGAAGAGAAGAGGATCGAGCACTGAGTGGACTACCAGGGAAATATTCGGTCCAATCACCAGTCTGCCGGGGCAGACAGCCCTAACTACACCAAACAGTAGATAAATGACTAAAAACAACTGGATGTGTAGAACTTTTTATTCAGCGTGTGGCTCCACAACCTCTGTACCAAACGGCTCCACAATGACTATTGTTTGGTTTGATGCTAGCAGTAGCAGCTAATGTTAACAAACATGCAGCACCTAACGACACAGAAAGCTAGGGCAGCCTARAAAGTCCATATGAGGTCCATATTAAGCTACCAGTAACTTAATAATCACTACTTAATAAATCATTTTACGACAACCTAATGCTTTATAAACATAACCTCTAAAAACAAGTTAGCAGCTAACATTTCTTTGATGAAGTGATCGCTACAGACACCGGCATCCTGCTCCACCACAGATGTAGTTTAAAATCCACTTTTTATGTCGTTCTTTCTACGTTTTTCATCTTTGTGTAAGACAATCAGTGCTTCATAGGATTGGGCAGAATCTTGTGGAAYTATTGATCAGAAAAACCTTTGAAGGTTATTGTCCTGATGCATCTCAGTAATCCAGGTAAAAAATCAAAGGAAAAAAAATTGTATAGGTCCTCTGCACGGGTTCTTCTTTAATGAAACGTTTCGTCTCTCCTCCAAGAGACTTCTTCAGTCTGAGAGTTTCAGGCAAAATTCAGGCAGAGCGATAGCCATGTGATGTGAGTATCAGTCACCTGTGAACGATGGCCATGTGATGTGAGTATCAGTCAC